GTTTGACAGGACATAGAAAATGCTCCTCTGCAATGTTAAGCCTTTAATGGTTATAAATTAAGGGCGTATATATACTTATTTGACAACAAGTTGTTGGGGGTAAAATTTAATGTAAATTTAGGGCATGCTGAAGGCTCGCTCAACATCTAAAACCATTTCAGTTTTGTCCTTTTTTCGTATTTGATGCTGAACGTCTTGCGTGGATTATCTGGTACTTTTCGAGTTTCACGGCAACCTGCGTTTTACTGACTATGGGGTCACGTTGGACTTTTCACTCGGAGCGACCACGCTCGCTATAAATTCAAATCCGTGGACAGCGGCAGCCAACGGTGGCGGATCACGTGCCACAGGTCACTCGCCCCCGTCGAGACGATCAAATATCACTCGGCAAATGCATGTTTAATATATCCTCTTGCTAAAAATAATACATACGTGAAAGTATGCTCGTGCGTGTGCGATCGTAACGTTCGTCATAACAAATGATCTTCTTTGGTTCTTTCGGTAAGGTCACGTAGAATGAGAATAAAATAACACAATAAAATTCTCACGTTTCGGCCACAACGCAAGCGGCCGTTTCGGCCACAAAGCTTGCGTTGTGGCCGAAACGTCGTGAGAATTTTATTGTGTTATTTTATTATTTTATTCTCATTCTACGTGACCTTACCGAAAGAACCAAAGAAGATGAATCCTTGCAGTCACGAAAGCTTTAAATCGAAATATAACAAATGATGTTTCTCGTTTCATTCGTAAGCTAAAGCTTGGGTGTAAAAACTCCATTGCCCTCGGCTAGCCACGGAAACAAGCTGCCCAAAGGTGTATGGCACGAAATGATAGCAAACAGCTCATGCGACCGCCCTGCACGCGCGTATGATTGTGTAAACCATGAGGAATTAACAATTTACGAGGGTTGTGATACTACAATATAATGTTTCCGTATATCGTGTGATATAAGGTCCAATGGTAATCAAATCGCACTCTATGTACTGCTACATATAGTATTATGATATCATGATTGTCATTGATCTATGTTATTTTATTTTACGTGTTATTTCCCGAGACAATATTTATGAAAGGGCCACAATAACAATTCACAATAACAATTGAGCTCATGATTGAGGGACAGTAAAAATTGTGTCTTAAACCCTCCTCCACCCGACACGGGCAATTCGTAAAGCTGTGACGTGATGAACAAACGTGACCTTTAGATGACTGCTTCAGCGCTACCACCAACACCACCATCACCGCCCGAGACGTTGTTGGACAGCGAGCCACACGCGTTCAACAAGTGGCTACGGACGTTTTGCTGACGGTTGCAATCAGCATCATCAGGCAGTTGCCAGAATGTTTTTAAAATGTCCCCCAGTCTTGGGATTGCTCTCCAGCACAGCGGTGGTGCTGCTGAAGCAGCCATAGATTGGCCACGGCGAAGCCGTCATAGATTGGCCACGTTTGGTCATTATGTGACGGCTTTATTAATTGGCTGTGTCGGGTGTAGGAGGGTGCACGACGCACAATTGACTTACGTTGTCTGACCCTACAATCAAGTGTGAATCATAATGTTGGTCGCAAAAGCCCGCACGCTTTAAATAATAATTGAAGTGTGCCATATGTTTTCTAGGTTAAAGGAACCGCATGTCAGTGATATGACGTTATGATTTTTTGATAGCATGCACGTTATTAAGCATTGTCAGTTGTCTAGTTGCCGTGATGAGAAGACGTGAAGGGCGAATGTCGAGTCAACTTGAGTCGAAGAACTGTTTGGTGATAGTTTGCTGCACTGGGAAGTACGGCAGAGCACGAAGACAGTACAATAAAAAAAGTGAAACAATTACAAAGCGATGGTAAACTGATATCGTCAAAATCTTCACGTGATAGAATTGATATCCTATCGCATCTAAAAAAATATATTTTTCTTAGAAACAGTACAATTTACCCCACCCCCGACTAAATAATCTTGTACAGAGGAAATAGCTGTAAAAAAGAGCCAGTTTATTTGTTACTTTAATCATCCGTTCTTAAAAAAGAGCAAACGACAAGTCTTTATGTTGTCAGTTTTGTGTATATTCTGCATAATTGGCTGCCACATTGCCTGAACGCCTCCGCAAACATCGTGTTCCGCGCACACTGCTGTCAAGCGTCGCGTCAGCCCGGTGCGCGTGCAGCGTGCAGCGTGCGTTCATAATGCAAATTGCATAGCGCGGGTGGCCACTCAAGGCCACTGAACCGTGCTGCGCCGCCCGGTCCGTTGGTCTCACGCTGCCGCGAGCGCTCCGCTGCGCGTGGGCGACTCCGCACTCCCCGCGCAGTGCTCCATTGTGCGGTGTGGGTGGGTGGGTGCGTGCGGGGATGATAACGGGGCAGTGCCGTTCGCTTGACGTTTGGCACCCCCAGGAGCTGCTTTGCCGGGCGCACAATGGGATGACGGCGCGTGGGTGGTTCACGTCGCGGGGGCCCCCGCGATGCACGAAGTCCACGATTGCGTTGCGCCGCGTGAGGAGGAGGGCAGCGTCGCTGTGCCAGAGCTGCCCCGGGGCCAGCACTCCGTTGTGTTCCGAGTGGCTTCTCTCTCTCTCTCTCGTCTCTCTGCTTCCTCAACATTCCACCCATCTCTCCCATCCCCACAACTTCCACCCGCTTGGGAGATGCTATAATCATCATCATCCTCATCAGCCATGGTCTGTCCACTGCTGTTGGAAGGCCCCTCCCCAAGCCGCCCGTCGCCATCTCTCACGATCGCGCGATGATGTGGTCATCCGCGCGCCACCTGTGTTGGATATGTATGCGAGATTTTTTTATACGCGGGAACCTTTTCCTATGGACTTCCAGTTTCATTTAATTTTGTTTGTTAAGATTCAGTTTTGCCTAGCCGGGCGGGTACGACGCAAGCGGTGTATAAAAGGCGCATGACCTTCGCGTGTTTTGCATGTTTTTTCAATGACGCCATTCGGCGAAGTGCGACACCTCCCACAGTTTTGCTGCCCCAGCCAAGCCTGCTCATCCGCTGAGCTCTGTAAGGGGAGCGGTGATCTCGTGCCTTTGCACAGAGTCGGCCACTCCTGTGGGTGGGGGTGGCTCTTGTTCTCATTGAGCGCGCGGTGGTTGCACCTCGCATGGACGCGTCACGCGCCGGCACAGATTCGCGTGTCGGAGAAACGCGGAGATATCATCAGCACGTTATCGCCAAAAATCCGGTGGAGGGCGACGTTCACGACCGCGTGGTTGTGACGCATGGCCCACACTGCAGGGCTGCTCTTTAAAAGGGCAACAAGCTCGTGCTTTCCATGACATGGATCGATCATCGTCAGCTGTGGTTTATCCACTGCTGGATGAAGGTCTCCTCAATCCTGCGAAACATGAATCCACCCGGCACCTGCACAGGACCTATCGCTCCACCTCCATGCTGGACGTCCTTTCGACGCGTTCCATTCCTTGGCTTCCAGTCCGTCGTCATTCTTGGCCATTGTCCAGCATCCCCTGCCCAAGATAACTTACTTTTCTTAGCACTTTGAGTGATTTAATAAACCTGCGCATGTTGCATAATCCTTGTGGTCCTCTTTCTGCTGCTCAGTATAATTTCAGGAATGCATCTCTTCGTGACTTTTCGGTTTCTGTTCATTTTTGTGTCCTAATGTCCTTGTTTCTGAATGACATCTCATCGTCTGCGTAGGTGCATGAATTGTGAGTGTGGGACTGTAAGGCTCGCGTGCCCGGAGTGCGATTAGCCGTTGGCGATGTGGCTGCGTGGTTGGGTGTGCAAGCGCGAAGTGACCCGATGTGTCCATCCGTGCAGATTGATGTCCAAAGAGGCAAGATTAGTTGCCGCGAATGTACTGCAAACTTCAGCGAGAGTGTGGCAGTGGGCGACTCCCATCAATCGTCGGTTGGCGTTCGTTACAGAACGGTCATTATCAATCTTTGCGCTTGTGTTGTTCAGAGCCGGTGGTTGTGTAATAATTGGAGAAAAAAATATTCTTTGACATGCCCAATGAAAAAAGGTTTGGCAAAAGTCGGAGACATTTTCGTTTCCATGGTGAATGTATCGACGTAATGGAAAACTGTCCATTGGAATTAAGCGCTAGGTTTTTGGGGTAAGGCTCCTCCGCGAGTGAAATGTGCGCGACCGCTGTAATAGTTTGTCGGCGCTCCGAGAGGGAAAGAGCTCCGTCGGGAGCACGCCGGCTGTCGCCGTGAGGGATCGCCCTGCAAAGACGTTGGACTTGGCCGGGCGGAGTGAGTTTGCCACTTGTCGCAAACGCTGTGTGGCTGATGGGATGTGTGAAAAATATGTTTATTTTATTTTCAATGTTGAGGAACAGATCCGTTTAGGAGGCAAATTGTCTGATGATTTATTTTGCTACTTATGTTCTCCACAATGACACGAACGATTAATTATTTGGCATTTACTGTGTGGGGTCAAGCTGCTTTGTTTTATTTTGCACCAAATATGCAATTGCATCACACAACGCGGTGTAATCCACAAAGCACAAAGCTTAAGATATTTTCAACCAATGAGTGAGTGTGCAAAGAAGTGGGAGGAAATCGAAGCACCCGGAGAAAACTCACGTGTGCGAAGGGGCAACACTATCCCATCCTGTTAGGTTAGTGTTGACCACCGTCTCTTACCGAGCCCAGGGTATGGCACCTCGACGCCCACGGGAAAGGGTGGTTCACAACGTACGTGTGATCCGCCAACCCTTGCCGCCACCTCCGCAGTGCTGGATTACAGGCGTGCGCCACCCATCGCCATTGTAAATTGACATTCCTGTGATATCATTAACGCCAACTTTATTGTTATCGTTAACCCATCGTGAATGTGAATGCATGGAGCGTTGAGTGGCATGTGCGGGTTTTGTCTGGAGTCTCAAATGTCCTCCCATTTGCCAAACACAGCTGAAGTTGGTTGTGAGCTGTGGCCCAGCGAGTGTTGCCGCCGCCTCGCTCAGTGGTGACTCTGTCTCTCTGCTCGTGGCCTCCGCTGTCTCTCCCCGTGCCACCGGCAGTCTCCCCGGAGGCGGTGGGCTTCCTGTCGGCGGTGGGGCTCTTTGTGCTGCTGTTGGTGCTGCTCTTCCTCTTCATCAACAAGAAGCTGTGCTTCGCCGACGTGGGAGGCCTGCCCTGCCTGGAGGCCCAGCTACGGCAGAGGAAGGACAAACGAAGTCTTCACGACAAGCTGGGTATGCCCCCTCATTACAGACAAATGCATTGCACTGCACGAGAGCTGGCCCCGCGGTATATCTGGGCAAGTTTTTTTCAAGGCGGATCCACGCGCGAGCGATCGGTTGTGCAACCCAAATTGCTCTCGTTATCGCACAACTCCATCATCGCCTGCAGCTGCTTTGTCCACATCTGAGCGAGTAGTTGCGTGTCAAGTGTGACGTGCGGTTTATACATCTTGATTAGTGCTGGGCGAGTTTTTAAGAGTTTTGATTTTTTCAAATCAAGGTTGGTTAAAAAGTACACACCTGCCAAAACCAACGTCATTACCACCAACTATAACGATGTCTCTCCTAACCAGCGATGAAGGTTGACTGATCTCCTCAATGTCTTCTCATTGTTGACGTAAGCATTACCGCTTCACGTCCGTTCGTTTCTTCTCTATGGGGAATCTTCATTCACACCTTTAACAGGCTGTCTGTCCTCTTTGTATTTGTGGGCTTTTGTGACCCATACGATTCAGGTCACGCGAGAGCTGAGCTTTTTGCTGGACGCTTGATCAAGCCGATTGTTATCTCCAGCGAAAGGTCATAGAGACATTGTCACTGTTGTGTTTTCCTTTAAATATTCCTCCAGTTTTGCCGATAGACCGAATCAATTGGCACATTCACCCACGTGACAACTTTAATTCGCTGGCTCTGTCGGGTGGTGGAGGGCTCCAGTTAAACATTGGCACCTACACGATCAAAACGAAGGAACCCAATTACGAACAGGCAGTCCTCTTTATTACCTGCCCCGTAGCATTTTACATACTCACTCCCTGACCTCAATAAATAAAAACCTGTTACAGAATCAAGCATATTCCCCTCCACTTGCCCAGAAATCTGCTCACTCTTATCGATGACAACTTTGATCGTGCTGTTTGTTGCTGGCCACTTGATATTCTGGGCCTCTGGGCCCGGTGTGCTCGGCTCGCAAGGACGCCGCAGGGAGACGCGATGCGTCTTGCGCCCCCGTATATTGTGACGCGTCCAGAGATGTGGTCACGGCTACGGTGACTTTTTGCGTTGCATCGTTCCGTCTCTGTGAATGTCGTTCATTCCGTTTGCGTTGAAAGGGACATTCCTTTACGCACCTTGAAATCCATACGAGGCAAATGGAATGGCACGAGCGGGAATGTTCCCGTGACATTCCATCAATAAGCACAATGAACTGCAGCCTTGGCCTAAGGCGGCGTGCTGAAGTCCATTGCCATTATCACGTTGTGTACGTTGCCAATGGCAACTGGAGGCATGGTAGGCCGTAGCTTTATAATTAGCGATAAAATGCCACTGAGGATGTTGATGGGATGTGTCAGATTAGAATGTATTTGGGATTCATCGAGTTCACCATCATCCTTAATGACCAAGTCTCACAGAGCCAGACTAAGGCACCGTTGTAATTTCTCTGGTTAATTATTAATGTCTGTGGCTTAGAAAGCCAGATGATGGCTCCCTTATCTATAATTCATCGGCTTCAGTGTTTATATCTGCGGCTCATACAGGCAGAATAAGGTCCATTATGAATGTTAGGTTCCTGTGTTAATGCCCAAGACGTACAGAACTGGGACAAGTGCTCCCTTGTGATTTCTGGTGCCTGGTGTGGATCGATGTTTGAAGCTTGGAGAGCTTTGCTCGTGTTTTTAGGGTTCACTCCACATGTCCAAGCTTCAGAGCTTGGATATTTAAGTATCTGTCTTGATACAGTAAACGCTGGCTATATGCATCTCCTATCTCTTACGAATATGTATTCCTTCTGTATCGCTTATTTTTAGAATTCACGCGTTTCCAATCTGCAACTCCCCTTTTCCCAACTCGTTTCCAATCTCGGATATATCTCTTTCTAAACATGTCTCTCTTTTATATAAATATCTCTCTTTTAAAAGCATAAACCTCCCAGCTTCCTCTTATCTCTTTTCTGAGTACATCTCTGTTCAATTCTTCATGAATTATTCCGTTTCTGACCCACGGCCCTGAGCATGTTAGTCAATCTGGCCCTCGGTGCAGGAGGTTTGGATGACCATGGCTTAAATTATTCACTTTAAACCTTCTATTGTGTATTAACTTCATTTTATTTATTCTATATAGTGGGGTGTAAAAGTTGCATGCAGTATATGTAAATAGTCATGAGTTGACCGATAACACCTTCATATATAGAGGACCACAGAGCTCGGGTAATAGTTTGTGACGGTTGGCCCAGTGGCTCCTGCTCGTCTGTGATTCCTCTTCAAGAGCGGACGGACACTGCGTTGACGTTGCTATTATTATTGTTGTTGTTAGCTAGAGAAGTAGGGGTTTGTTTGTTGTTGGCAGTTTTGCCAATTCAGAAGATGAAAATGTTTGGTTTCTCAATTACGTGTCAGACACTGTAAATTAGACTTTTGTACTCTTCTCCCCCTGCTGTAATCTGGCTGTACGCGCTGCATGCATTAGCTCATAATGTACGTAATGCTTTCATAATAAACAGGAGAGGGGTTTGTATCGTTGCCAACAAAGATCGACAAATGGGCCCTCTGGCGGCAGTGTTTTCCGGGAGCATTCTCGTCAACAAGGCAAAGCATGGACCACCTGTCACTTTTATAAAACACACTTTGCTAATATCCAGTTTAACTCAGAATCTTTATGTAGACTGGAGCTATGAAGCTCTTCATCACAGGTGTCCAGAAGGGGCTGGTCAGCGAGCTCGTCCTGGGCAAACCCAGGACCGGTCTCCCTCTCTCAGATTGCACGTGTGATTGTTTCACAATCTGCTCATGTGTACTGCGCGATGAACCCGGGCACAGCTAACATCAGCGGCGAACGATATTTAAACGGGCCCTATGGCATGGTCAAGCGACCACTTTAACCGTCATGGCATGCGGAGGCCTTCATCCATCACTGGACTGCTTGAGCGCTGTCCACTGCTTTTGTACAGACAACACAGGGCTGACAACAACAATAAGGATGCACGTCTTCTAGCGGTGCGTGCTGTGCACTGATATTTTTGCATGGTAATTTTCTTTAATATGTAAAACGAAGGCATTTATTGCTTCAACCTTGACTAGCCTGCAATTTGTATAGGATACGTATCAATAATGCAATGCATATATTGAGGAAGCATTATCTCTAGACATGTGCACAATGTTTTCTATTCAAATATGTAAAAAAAAAACATTTTGAATTCCCCCGATTCATATGAGGTATTGGCGAGGGGGTGTGTGGAGGTCGTGTAATTTTTATACTGAATAGGAACGCACAAATGGAAATTGCATAACGTATATTCACCCGCTGCATAGGGCACACTATTAAAATCGTATTTTAATGTTCCCATGAATGTTATAATACTCGGTGCTGTGATTTGATATTCACATGAGGTTATTTCACGTAAGCGCAAGGCACGGATGTATTTTCCAACATTAACACGCACAAGGCTTGTGGATATGTGGTATTTGTGGCATACGTATTTGCACAGACACACACACAAGAAGGGTACACATTTCATCAATCTACTAGTGATATATATGCACATTCAAACAAACATTTTCTAATTGTTTATATATGTAATTTCCAGGGTGGGAGATTGCTTAAATATCGCCATCCGCTTGGTCCAGCTGAATTATAATAATCATCATTTTTACACCCGATCAGTGCAATCTTTCGATTTAAAGCGTTCGTGACTGCAAGGATTCATTTTCTTTGGTTCTTTCGGTAAAGTCACGTAGAATGAGAATAAAATAATAAATTGATAAAATAACACAATAAAATTCTCACGACGTTTCGGCCACAACACAAGTGGCTTTCATCAGGTGAAGGGACGCGACTGTCTGGAGGACAGCGCTGTCTGGAGGACAGTCGCATCCCTTCACCTGATGAAGGCCACTTGTGTTGTGGCCGAAACGTCGTGAGAATTTTATTGTGTTATTTTATTAATTTATTATTTTATTCTCATTCTACGTGACTTTACCGAAAGAACCAAAGAAGACAGTGCAATCTTGTTTATTTGTGTTTTGGAGTTGAAATTGTTGATGCACTGGATGGAGGTTCTTTTCTTGTGGATGGCAATGTGTCCAGGAGCTCGATGTGGCCAGGAGCTCGATGCCAATGTCGAAGTCTGCTGCTCGCCACAACAAGAGGGCTTGAGGAGAGTTCGTGTCGTCTTACTATCCCTCCTCCTCCTCCTCCTCCATTGAAGGAGCGCAGACTACAGTGGTTTTACTATGTGGTCCAAAGCTGTTTCAAGTTATTTCAGTTTGTTGCGGTTGCCCCCGACTTAAGAGCCGCATGGCTCACAGGGCTATACCTAATAAATGAAACTTGAAAACTTGAAACTTGATTTATTAGGTATAGCCCTGTGAGCCATGCGGCTCTTAAGTCGGGTGCAACCGCAACAAACAAAATTTGAACACAGAACATCTTAAAGCGACAACGCATAACAGAAACATCCTGGAATAAACCAGCAAATATTCCACACAAAAAAAAGTATTAAAACGCTTTGTGTAAAAATCAATGTGGTGCAAGCCAACAACAACAACCATAAGTCAATTTATATTAACCATATGTTTTCGAATCACCAAAAGTAAAGCTATAAAAACAATGTAACAACAGTAATCATAGGAACTGTGATTTTAAATTTAACAATAAACGATATACATAACACGTACAATAAAAAAACTGCAGCCATAGCTGGCAGCACGACACTCTCAGTGTATGATGTGTGAGTGAGTCAGGTGAGTGCATGACCACAATCGCACAACCGTGGTTAGTCTTTAATTTTCCATTCATGAATGAGCTGTGCACTCGGCCTGTTGATGTTCTGATGTGGTTGGTGGTCACGGCAGTGTCTTCGAGGGGGAGGAATGTCGAAACAAAATACATTTGCCGAGTTGTTGGAGGTGGGCGGGTGACTTGGGAGCTCCAGAATTGTCAGTAGCCTTCTGCAGCACCACTGAAATCATGGGATTGAAGCTGGGCAAGCCACCAGTGAATGGGCTGGGTTCTCCGCTATAGAGAGTGTCAGCACCATTACCAATGATTGTAAAAAACATCACATTAAATGTGGAGTGGGGGTGACTTAGTGGTTCAAAGGTCGTTTACGGATAAAGTAGCGTCATATGTTTGCAATGTGTAGGGGTACGCAGTGATTTATTTTAATTGATGCTTGTAGATGTACCTATACTGCCCTAATTGTCAATCCACTGCTTTGATGAGGTACCTCCCAAATGCTGTGCAAGTCATTGGGGGTAATTTGGCCGTACTTCACCATGCTGGTCCGTGCGGGTTGGTGAGGATGGAGAGCATAGACGCCACATGATTGAACGGCATGCGCTGCTCTCCACTGACGATGTAGCTCCACAGCAGCCTACGGCACATGTTTTATGCACGGTGGGCGCCCATCCAAGGGCTATCCAGGCTCAAACCCCGCTTAGCATCTGAGCTCTGGTGAGATTGGGCACATCCCAGGTGATTCGGTCATAGGCAGTACGATAGACATAAAACATTTATTCGCGATTCAACTTGTCAGATGTCAGCTTGTGCTATTACATCAAATCAATCCTGATATTGACTTAGCCATTGAAACAGATCTAGAAGTTATACCCCAGTAGACACACACACACACACAACCTTTGGCAAGCCGAGAGTAAAGTGCGGTGCATTAACGTTTCGCTGCAGGCATTGCGCTCGCCAACGTACAACAGCGCGAACTTCGTGCAGAAGTAAGACGTGAAAACACCGCCCCTCCACGCCACACTTTGCCATCCATGACGGCACAATGAATTCGGCAGGACGTAAACGCGAGGGGACCGCCGCGCATCACTGAAACATCGCCATTAGTCAGAGGCCCCAGAGCCCAATTGTCCTGCCCCGCAAACACGGCAGCCCCCTACTGTTAAGTGCACGCTGAACCATTTGCTGTTTGCCATCTCACGGTCAATGCATCCATGATTGACGATGGCGATGTAAGCGTCTCCCAAATTGGTCAAAAGCCATCACACCCGTTCACAATGACAGCGATGATCCTACTTGACAGTCGACGGCCCATGGGATGGCCGTGCACGCCCACTGTGTGCTTGCGGAAGGTTGCACAGGTGGCGATTCCTCTCCGGGGCCTCAATGTGACGTGCAAACGCACGCAAGCCTTTTCCTTCTACGCTGCTTTGCCAAGAACCCCTCTCCACTTCCTCCGCTCGGCGTCCCTTTTGCCCCTCCGGGGGGACCTTGCACAGCCTTAATGGAGCCCTCCGGAGTGCGCCGCTCTAATCCGCGTGGTACACGTAAATAATACCGCTTTGTTCTATCATTGACCTGTTTTATGCAGAGAGCCGTTAACGCTGTATTCACGTCGTATTATTAATGATTTTCTTTTCTTCCTTCTGTTGTGAAGACGCTTATTTTCTTCCGCCATGAGGAGATTTTGCACCGAGTTCGGTATTTAAAATTCAAAGCGAAGGACACGGGCAGAAGAAAGTAAACGATCGCGGAGGGAGACACAGGGTGGCGATGGCCTTTTCTGGAAACTTTGGCTCGCTGTCCTCCTGGGTGGAGCAGCTGGGCTCCGCTGTGGAGCAGGCCAAGAACTCCGTAACGGAGGCTATCGGGAACCTGACTTCGGAAATCACAAGTCCCACGCCGACCAGAAGTCCGTCGACGGACGCTGCGGACGATTCGCGAAGCGGCCCCCAGCCCGACGACGATGACGGCGGCGGCGGCGGCGAGTGGGAGCACCGCAACGGGGGGCGGTCGCCCGGCTCCAGTCACGGAAGAAGCGACTCGCGTGCGCAGACGAGGGCGCAAGCGGTCGAGCGCTACAACAACGACGACAACGACGACGACGAGCGTGGCGATGGCGAGCGGGACGAGAGTCCCGCGCCCGTGCCGGAAGATCCGCGCCGATCCCGGAACTCGAGCAGAAATTCGTACGGCGATGGCCACCACGCGGACGTCTATCGTCAAGGGAGCAGCAGGAACTCAGGTGAGAGCGGCGAGTAACTTGAAAAGGCAGCCGAGGGTCGACCGTGTCCAGCGGGCGGGTGGCTGTAGGCGGTACGGGGGTCACGGCGCGTCGTCTCCAGATTATAAGACGCTCAGGAGAGTGACGCTCGCCTCGCACTTGTGCCCGGTGTCAATCGGGCTGTACAGATCTGGTCTCGCACGCCTCCCGCATTTTCACGAGACGCTCGCCTCAGACGTTTGCTTTAAAAACAAAGGGGAAAAAATCGCGTCTTGTAATTTGGAGAATTCGCCGATAACGGCGGCCTCCTGCTGAGCTGCTGCAGCGGGAACCGCGCGCGTCGATTAGCGATGCACGAGGGGAACCGGGCGCTCCGAGGAGATGGCCGCTGTGCCGTCGTGGTGCTGCTGCTCGCAGGACTTAGGCCTGGGCTTAGTCTCTGCCTTCCTGGCCGCTGGCTCTCTTTGTCCTGCCTCTTCTCCTGTTTCCACCGAGACGAGGAACGAATCTGCTCGGCTGTGTGATCTTTGTCTTCTACTTACTTCGGAGTTTTCAAGCATTTAAAAGGAAAAGATGGAATGGACCTCCAGCGCTCGCTGTCTGCTGCCCGTCTCGACTTCACGGCCTGCATCCCCTACGGCCTCTCTGCCTCTCGACGTGTCCAGATTCTTGCAACTAATGTGAAGACCTTTCTTCTACTTTTGCTTGGTGTGATCGTTTGCCTTTGATATGATTGACACTTTTGTTGTCTAACATCTGCATTTGATAAAAAAACCACACTGACCCCCCGCCAAAGGAATGTGGAGTTGTCATCCTGGCAATGGGCTGCCAAGAGAGATGAGCACCGCTCCATTCTTGTTTGAACACGGGGTCACGTCGAAGTCGAATATTCGCGTTGCAATGTGCGCGGGTAAACGCCGGCACATTCTTATTTCTCTAAAGAATAAGAGTGTGTGTTCAGTGCAATGTTTCACTCGGAGCAAGCCGGGCAGAAGAAGGTGCCGGTGATGATGGCGGGCGCCAATGGGAGCGGGGTGTTGGTGGCTTGCCGACGTCCACGGCGGTGTCGGTGGTGCCCTGGCACGACTCTTGCGGGGCAGTGCTGCACGCGGCCAGCAGATGGCGGCGTTGCGCCGCCCGAGTGGCTGTGCCCACTGCGGCGTAAACAGCGTTGCTGGTTTCGAGTTAATGTTGGCATTACATCAGCATTGCTATTGTACATTGATATTGCTGTTGGGGTAATTGATCCAACTTTCTTATGAGCCTATCGTGAACAGGTGACGGTACAGCCCTGCGATATCTCGCTCACGCCGCTGCTGGCCGAAAGGCCTCGACTCGAGTGGGCGATCTCGAGGAGCCGCTCTCGAGGGTATTTGGCCTCCTCGTTTACGCTGGTAGGGCGTTTAGGAAGAGGTGGGAGTGCCCGTACTTCACCACACTGGAGATCGCCTAGCCTCAGCGGCGTACCCAGTTACACTGCTGGGTGGAATGAGGCGGCGTGGATGTTTGAGACTTGCCCCTTTGTTTACATGTTTCGGGCCATCACCTCCTAGGTCCTGCGGGGGGCCTTTGGGATTCAAATTGAACGGCGATGGCTTCATAGGTTAGAATGAGTACAATCTAAACTGCTGAGTAAGAAATGAATATACAATAACGTCAATGATTTTTTTTAAACAACGTATTTACCATTCTTAATTTTACAACCACTGGCCGTGCCAGTGGGGGGGGGGGGGTGAGGTGGCACGTGCCCCCCAATGATCTGATCGAAATCCCTAATTTCGATCGGATCATTGGGGTTTATTCGTAATAAATCGGCATTTTGCGACCCCCACTGCCACAGTCTAGCATGTTATTACGTGCCAGGGACTCTATGAGATGATAGGACAATAGTCCGAGTCCATAATTGGCAATAAATAACGGCAAAGCAGTTATAAGTGACTCACAGAATTGTGCGCAGTCGCGTATACAGGACACGACTTCCCTGAAGGCAAACACCTCCAGCGAGCGCGATGCCGATCACACAACGTGCACGCATCGAACAAAAAGCAAGGGACAAGTCCTTACTTACTAACAACCACTCTATCATTTTTCCTCGCTCCGCCAATGGTCGCAACATGTAAGAAAAGTCCCCTAGTGTTATAAATCGATAGGCCGAGTGTTAAGTGTGTAGTTCAGTAATGAACATGACATTCTTCTTTACCGAAATTGAAACAATGCAATTTTTTTTTTTACGTTTAAAATAAATGCTTCTTGCCTTCTTGCTTTGTTTGTTTTTAAGTGATTTGACGTTTTGAAAATGAAACTCGCTGACTTGCTACTTGCTTCCACAGTAGAGACATCGCCCATCAGTCGTGCTGCTGGATGATCAACTGTTCAACTGATGGCTCGTAAATGGGTCACCGGTGACGTAAACGCGTCTCGCTAATCTGAATGTCATAAACCGCATGTAACGTTTTCCACATTTTAAATCTAAATGGTTACCGACATAAAAAATACATTAAATCAATACTTAATTGAATACAGTCACGTTTCGCACATGCTGTGCCCTAAAAAAATGCGCTTGAAAAAATGTCGGACAGAGTAGCAAACTCACACTTGCCCCATTATAGTACTGTGTGTGTGATGATGAGGATAACAAGGCGATATCACGGCAGCCCCAGCGAACTGTGGGGTCAGTAGGAGTCATGGGGGGAGGTCAGCTGCTAGGTGGTGGCAGTGGAGGCAGTAGTGACGGGGCTACGGGAGACTCACAGTGGGAGAGAGCAGTGAAGATAGTCAAAATAATTGCTTTGAGGCACGGACTTCTCCCAGTCTATCGCGTTGTCTGCTGTGGGGAGTTATGGTTATTGATTGACCTTTAGTCTAATGGCATTACTGGGGAGAGATGGGCGAGGTGAGTCACACCTGTCTCTCCCATGAGTCCCTTATCTGCCCCATGTAACGCCATTGTAGAGATACTGTGAGTCACCTTACCCAGATCACAGAGATGCTGTGACACTGCGTTGATTATGCCTAAAACATTCAACTATTATGCTCGCGTTAAAAGCATCGAATTGGGTTAGAAGCAATGTTTTCCAATTCACGCATGCTGCATGCAATAGGTGCACCCCTTCAGCCACTAGTAGACGCTACATTCACCACAATGTCGGTTCTCAAATCGATCGTGGCCTTGAATCGGAATAATTATTCAGAAGCTTTATTTCGACTGCAGGAGGAATCCGATGAGCTATGAAGCTCTTTTGTCATACGTCCAGTATAGGCCGGTCGGCAAGTTACAATCATTGAATGGGCCAGGGTGGATCGTTCCACTTGGGCCAGGTGCCACCACTCGTTCCACTTGGGTCAGGTGCCACCACTCGTTCCACTTGGGTCAGGTGCCACCCACCACTCGTTCCACTTGGGCCAGGTGCCACCACTCGTTCCACTTGGGTCAGGTGCCACCACTCGTTCCACTTGGGCCAGGTGCCACCACTCGTTCCACTTGGGCCAGGTGCCACCACTCGTTCCACTTGGGCCAGGTGCCACCACTCGCTCCACTTGGGTCAGGTGCCACCCACCACTCGTTCCACTTGGGTCAGGTGCCACCCACCACTCGTTCCACTTGGGCCAGGTGCCACCACTCGTTCCACTTGGGCCAGGTGCCACCACTCGTTCCTCGTGCGCTGTTCTGTTCGGGAGTCATTTAACGAACCAGGAACATGATTGAAGTTTTCCAAAGCTATCGTTCTTTCTTTTCAGTCTCAATGAGTTACATTTTTGTCAATAATTGTATTGTGTAGAGGAGTTTTTTTTAAATATCAAGTTATAATATTTTATGTAATGAGTGATCTTAAGACCCTTAAACCATAAATGTATATCTTCGCAACCGTGGACATTGCAACACTGTAACCATCACCCTTACGCTAACCCTAGGATTAATATATTTTATTCGTGTTTCATGTTTAAAAATGTCAGCAATGCAAACACTCGCAGTTTTATAAAATCGACTAGCTTTACTACCCGGCTTCGCCCGAGACTTGGATTCTTGTCTTGTAGTAATACACGGCCTACGCAGAGGGTGGGGGGGGGATGCGTGACGTCAGCAGGCACACTGCGTGACGCTGCCGCATGCGGGTGACATCACAGATGTGACGTCACCGCTCACTTGCCGTGCAAAATATATCCATTATTGCGCCCCCCCCCCCAAAAAAAATGCAAAAGTCTATTTTAATACTTTTTGCATTGTGTACAGTCTGGAAGCTACCCACATGCCAATTTTAAAATTTGTTGCATGTTGGGAAGTATACTAAACATTTGGAACAGGCACACATTCACAAATTTCCCATATATAAACATAAATAATTCCTTGAAATATTTTTGGGGTTTGTGTTGTGACCGAAACGTCGTGTTTTTTTGTTTATATTTTTTATTAACTTTTGAACTATCTACGTGACTTTACCGAAAGACCCAAAGAATATGAATTCCTGCACTCACGAAAGCTTCAAGTCAATAATTCCTTGAAATGTTTTTTTCGCCATTAACATATGCATTACAGTTAAATTAATGCAATAAATGGATGTAAATATTAGTTTCCCTGAAAGCAATGGCCTCTGCTGCCCACGTTATATCATGGACGGCTCTCCGTTATACTGGGGGAGGGAGGGGTGGGATGGCCCAGATGAAAGGTAAACAGGCGAGGAGTACCAGAGTAGGGGTGTTCACCTACCTGTTGTGAACGTGTGGAATGGGGTCGTCTGTTTATTCTTGCCGCCTCAATGCCATCGCTCCTCTTTGCCGACGTGCTTTGCGGTCACGTGGCCACCGAGTTGCCGACCCTCGACGAGTGCGGAGCAGCCGATGGCTAAACCGGTGTGCAAACGCGTTCCGCTTCAGAGCCGGAATAATAATATAATAATTTATATTATTATATTAGATAATAATATATAATCCGCCCCGTGGATTCTCGAGAGCTGCAGATCAGTAGACGCTCCGAATTTTAAGAAACCAGGAACACGTTGCTTTCAAATACAAGGGGGGTGGTGGCGGCGGGAATCGTGCGCCTTATAATCCGGAGAATGGGGTTATTGTAATTTAAACGCGTGGACGATTTGCACGCACGTGATGCAAAATGGCTGTCACCGGGCAGAGCGTGGGCCCCACCCGTGTGTGCACAGGAAGTGATCTGGTTAAGTCAGTTATTTGTCATCGAAATTGAAAATCCTTGATGGTTCATGGAACCATTATGGACCTGCCATGGATCGCCAAGAGTCACGAGAAGGCGTCTATTTTATGACTCAAAGTTGGCAATTTACATCATAATGGAGCTGGCTATGATATTCTCCCGGGGCCAGTTTCACATCCTGATTGAAAATGCTCCCAACACGTCGAATTGGCCATTTAACTCGTGCTTGGTGATGGACAAATCGACGCATTTCCATTCAGTCTGATGACAACAAACATCCGTCAAAATAAAAAGTTGCCTCTTAACGGAAAATTAATTCCAATTTATGTAAAAATGCCACATACCAGTTGCAACATATACTTCACATACTGCAACAAAAATATTGCCATCTGGAAAAAACCAGACTGTGTCATCATACAGTGCATTTCATTGCTCACCGTGATTTCGTTTCCAGTGCATCTGCGCTTCTCTGCTGCTGCTGTCAGTGCAGTCGGTGAAACGTTATCCCTCGAATGTTACGCGGTCCCACGCGTAGGGGTCTCGCTCGTAATGAGTGCGAGCGTCTGGTTGTACTGCCCTTCAATTCTTGCACGCAAAAAAATCCACTGGCACGAGCGTCCATTAATCCACTTGCTACTTTCAAAGGTTACCCATTCACTTTCATCTCCCCTTCTGTGTTGTTTCACAGTTCCCCACTTCACAACAGCGTCCTCGCCCTTTGCCACGCTGAACTTCGTTCACCTCCAATCCTGTCTCATCAATGCCGCCTCCGCACAGATGCAAGTGTCTTTGCGTTGCCACTCTAGTCTCTGCCCATGTATCTTGATCATTTACAAGGAGCATTGATGTCACCCTGTATCGCTTTACTGCTTGCTGTCACCCTTCCTGTGTCGGTTTACTGCTTACTTGCGGGTCTTATCTGTACAGGTGACGGCACACGACCCCACATTAAATCTCGATTCACTTTAAACCATCCAGAACATCCCAACTGTGTCCCTACGCAGCGTCCGCACACCCTCTGTAGTCCGTTCGTTCTGTCTGGCAGCTCCCTATCGTTTGCTTCCTTTTAAGCGTTTCCACACCGCGCTGCCATCCTCCAAAATGCCCTTCCAATGACTTCACAGATTTAACAAATACAGCATCAGTGACAGAGACCTCCGCCCATCTGAATCGGCGTGGCTCTTGTGTCAAGGATCCATCGAACTCATTCCCAACGTATCCGTCAATAACTCTTTTATTCTGGCAGCGTGCCAAATTAATGTTACCCTTCCGTATCTTCCACACTTCCTGCATCATTATAAATTAGTACAGTTATTTTCTGCCGATCCAATGGGGTTTCGCTTTCTCTCCATAGGCCTCTCAATTCTCTGCGCCGTTGTATTCCTCCTGACCTCCTGACTTGATCATCTCAGCTGTGACTCCTGTAGATGTTACATCCTTCATCGGTATTAACGTGCTTTCTACCTCCATCTAATGACGGCCCATCTTCATCATCCTAGTCAGCCATATCTTCATCATCCTAGTCAGCCTTATCTTCATCATCCTAGTCAGCCTTATCTTCATCATCCTAGTCAGCCTTATCTTCATCATCCTAGTCAGCCTTATCTTCTCCCACAGCACTTTCGTCTCCCCTGTCACCAACCTAGAGGAGTCCTTGAAAGAGCTCCGTCCACAAGTCCTTGCCGTTCCACTCTGTGACCTGCGCTCCCCTTTCATCCATACAATCCACGTGTTCTCCTCTTTCTCTCCTCTCACGCTTAACTGTCGTCTAGGTAACGTTCCTGCTTTCATTCTGTACCTTCCCGTTTCTTAACTCCTTCGAATCTGTCTCTTGAGTGCTAAGGTTTAGCAGAACAATAACTCGCATCATTGTGGTGAATATAAATAACAAAAGAGACGCTACGTCTCCATAATTTATCTGTCTCTCCACATGAAAGTATATTTTTACACAACCTATTGGCCTGGGAGTGCATGAACTCGGCAGCATTGATTTGTGTTGCATTCTATATCATGTAGTGTCACACTATGACCCATATCTTAAAGAGAGAGCTCTTGCTTATAACATCTGCCACTTCAGCATTGATTCAAACAAGTTTGACTGCTGATGAGACAGTTTTTGTGGAAACTGGTCCAGAGTTTGCTTGTACTGCATCAAAGCTTCTGAATCTGCGCACTTTCATTTAGGCCATGGGACCCGTGGGTTCCGTAAGAAGTTCTCGGGGAGTTTGGTTACCATGACAGGAAAGATGGAAGAGAGGTGAATAGATGGATCCAGAGAAGGCCTGGGAATTCTACAGCAGTGTGAAGGGTGTAGTTGGCGAAATGGTCGAAGAATATAAAAATAACATTTTTTCTTAGCTCTTTCGGTAAAGTCACATTGAAGGGAAACAATTTACCAAAAGAGCTAAGAATATGAATTACTGCAGTCACGAAAGCTTTAAATCAAAAAGAAAACATTTTTCAGCAATCCCAAACCTGCCAACCCCTTACAAGTGCCCCCTACCTTATTACCTTATTGGTCACCTCGTACCAGTGCCCCCTACCTTATTACACACCATTTGTTACCTTATTGGTCACCTCGTGCCCTTATAAATCTCAACGTTCATCCTACAAAGTCCCATCACAAGGGAGAAACACAACCACATAGTCAAAAACATGTTGTTGCTCGTATTGAAACGGCTGTACGCCGTATGGACCTTAAAACTCAATTGCCCTGTACAAGAGCACGGGTGAACCGTGTGGGAAGACAAGGTTTGTAATCCATGCAATATGCGGTGGCAACGTGGCTCAATGGAGAGGGTCGTAACATACGGTCAGCAGGAACGGAGTTTTTTGGGAAGTGTGGTGAGAGAGACGAGAAGAGACTCAATAAAGAAGACCGTCATCCGGGAGAGGCTGTGAGTGGGGAAACTCGGCGAGTAAAACGGAAGGGACGACATTGTCATGGTGATGGACGACCTCGTGATGATGGTAATGGACGCGTGAGAAGGACGGACAGAGACGTGTTGCCAAGACGTGTTTATGAAATGGGAATGTCAGGCAAGCTGCCGGTGGCTCGGGTTGACAGGGCTGAGCCCCCTCAAATATCATGTCCAGCTTTTGCATTCGTACACACCCCCCTATTCACACAACAAGTTCCTACAGACCCCATTCACACACACCCCATTCAAACATACACATCCCATTCATGCCCTTTGGGCATGTCAGGCTGCCATGTGTTCTGCTCGGGAGAACCTTGTGATGTCTCGTGTGCAGTCATTTTTTTGTTATCAGGTATTTGAAAAAATATTCATCAAAATAGATTTCAATCTCCTAAAAATGTATTTCTGCCCACAACGAATATTGTGAATGCAGGAAATGGTGATGGATGTGACGATGACGGCGATGATGAACCTGCTTAATGGAGCGTGGGTTTATGTGTTTTTTTGTTGTGACTTGCTGACGTGACCCTGCTGGACATCTGTGAAAAAAAGCTTTCACAGCCCATTGGATTCCTCCGCTCTAAATAACGAATCTCATTCTGAAAGTTGTTCCTCTCCGCGTGCAAACTTGCAAAACAATCGGACGCTGGAACATTTCTCTTTCCGCTCTCCGTGCGCTCCACCCGGCCCCGGGCCCAGCAGTGCGCAGCTACGGAGGAGGTGGCGGAGGAGGAGGTGGTGGCGGCCGCGAGGAGGAGATCGACGGAGATGACGTGTCCTCGTCGGACAGCGACGAGGAGGTGATGGGGAAGTTCGAGGAGAGCGTGTCGCGCTCGCACAGCTTCCGCTCTGCCGCGTCGGAGAGGGCCGTGCAGGCGGGCCGCGTGCAGGCCGGCCGGGCCGGCACGCCGCGCGCCACCCGCCCGAGCCCAACCCCCACCGCCCCCTCGCCGCACGACGGCTACAGCAGCGGCGAGGCGTCCCTCAACGACGGTGGGTGCACCGCTCCCTCCTTCCCTGCCTCCATCCCTGCCGGTTTTTTTTTTCAGTTACGTAACGGCAAAAATAATCACACGCCGCTCAGGACGATGCATTTACACGCCAATTTCCCCTCTTCTGGCATTGTGAGATTGTATTCTTCCCGTGATACGTCCCATTTAGTTTATTTTGTGAATCTCAAGAGGTAGCAACCCTAATTGCTCTCTCTTCCCTCCGGTTGTCCCTCTTGCGTAAGACTTGTTGACGAGGTGTGGTTGGATTTGGACGCTGCCATGATCGGGCAGCTTTTGTGAATTTCCTCCCAAGCTGTCTGCGCATCCCCTCTCCTGCCGCCTCGCCTGCCGCTGCTGCGTTTAGACCCTCCACAGATGTGAATTCCTGCCATCGTTGTGTGCCCTCTGAACTGGGTGCGTTGTTAAATAAGCACATTTTGTTAATCGTCGCTTGTGGCAATTAACATAACAATGCTGAATAAGTGAGCGCTAATGCGATAGTTTCGTTTATTTTGACACGGGTAAAACCCATTGGGCAATAGTTTACATGGATATTACCTTGGTAGAATGTAAATCACGTTAATGATTTTGAGATGAAGTCAGAAATACCATAATGTGTTTTTGGCTTTGTTTAAAGGACAGACAAGAAAATGTCTTTACGGTTTATAGTTTTGGCGATTTGTGAATGTTAACGGTGTGATAACTTTGGTGCGTTTTCACGACAGACCTAGGTTATTATGATACCAAATCTAAACCCATTAAAAGGTACATTATACATTGTTCAATGTAAAACACAAAGAATGAATTCCCATGTCAATGTACGGGATGTTACATAACGACCACATCGATGGGCGCATATGTAATGCACTGACACTTTCTGCATACGTAATGACATCCCAGGCACCTTGAACCATGCTGGCGTCTCTCCTGCTGACTGTGCTTGGCTTTAAGCAGGTTATAAAGCATCGGCCTGTCACATCTGGACTCGTGACTTCATTTCGGCCGGAGCAGTCTGGCGCTGAGCTCCAGAAATGCTTCTCCTCCCGATCCCCAGGGGTTCTGGGTCCCAGGTGGTTTGGGGACTCAAGAAAATCAGTACAGTAGATGCTCCTTACTCTATTTTAACTCTCTGCATTAAAAAAAGTGTTGCTTACACGTCCCATTGGCCGCACGTTTCTCCTGCGAGCGCATCCATTCAGCAGCATTGGTTTCGACATTGAGTTGCTCATGAGCAGAGTCCAGCTTGTTTAAAGCAGTGCTGGTGAAATGCCCAATGTTTAAAGGCAAATACTCAGTCTGTTAGCTGTGGGTCCTAGTTTGGAGCAAAACCAATGCAGGTGAGGTTGGGTTGTGGGTGATGTCAGATATTTATTTAATCTTCCACAGGGTGCAATGAGTTGTCAGCGTCCGCATTGCGAAAGTGAATGTCTGGATTGTGTGACTGAGATATCATGAGTTTTTGCATTGTTTGGGCATCCCGTGCAAAAAATCTAGCAGTTTTCCAAACATGACTGATTTGGGCCAGGTGTGATGCATAGGACTTTGACTATGCCTGTTTGAATACGTCTGAGCCAGAATTGGGAATTAATTTGCCTCCTTATTTGGTGTTGCTACGATTGCCCTTGCCCCCTCTGCCCTGTTTCTAATTACCCTCGGATGGCATTCTGAAATCGAATTCATCTTCGGTAACAAATACAGCCAAGCAGTAGCATGGCCCGAGATCACAATTCCCCTTTAGCCAGCACGGTCGTACGACTCTCGCGGTGACGAAGTGCACTCGCTTGATTTTAGTTGCGTCATTGCCAATATGTGTCGGTTCATGATCGGTAGTTTAGCGATGTTATCGGCATAATGAAATTTGACGGAGGTGGTATGGATGGTATCTGCAGTGGAGATGCAATTTCATTGTGCATACAGCAGGCTTCACGTGAGATGACTGCTTTGAGATGGTTCGTGCAGTGGCGCTGGGAACACAACAGAGGCTCTCTTGCCATGTCTCGTATTGTGGTGATATTCCCGTGGGTTGAGAAGCTTGTTACGAGGAGTAGTGTATCGGCTGTTGGATTTGCATCTCTTGAGCAGAGGGATGCTGCCTTTGTGTAATAGAGCATTGGACTCGCGAATCCAGAGGTCATCGGTCCGATTTCATCTCTCCCGGCGTGGCAGTCGGTACAAGTTTCTTGAATGCCCCAGGCCTCAGTCTTACCCAGCGGTATAAACGTGTACTCCACAGCTGATGGACAGGTCGTGTGCGGTGGGATAAAGTGTGGGTGCTCCCCACATCGTTAAAGATGTCTGGCCAGCGTTGAAGAGTTGTCCAAACACCCTCGCGAATGGTTCTCTTAAGCTCCCTCGAGCGGAGGCTCTTTTGCCAGTAGTGACGTGAACTTGACATTTCATCGCTGCGCCAATGTTACATTTTCTTGTCAATGACAAATGAAACAAAGGACATAGCAGATATAAATATCATAGCAATGAACACAATAATTACAATTGTGAATACAAACTAATGCACAGCGGAAAACTCAATCAGCTGTAATGTTCACTGGAGTGTGTGTTAGTGTGCAGTGGGATCTTATGCTCATGAAGCGTTTGTTCCATAAGCTCGTGGTCATTTATAAGCGAAATCGCTACCCTGAAGAAGAACCAGCTGTGTTGTGCAAAGGGTTTGAGAGTGGGGTCATGACTTACAGTCGTAATACTTCACTGCATAGTCTGCATGACATTTGTAGAGCATTTCTCAGATCTATCAAATACATTTTCCTTTTGTAAGGAAGTCGATGAGTTGCAATTGCTATGGTCTGTAAAACACATCCCATTCATTGGGCCATTTGTCCACGGACACTTTACACACATTCACGAAAACCACACGGCCGCTAAACGAATTAACTCCTACGCAACCTATCGCGCAGCTTACTACCTTGCAAATGCCCAGATTCGTGTCGTTTGTTTGGCAAGATCGGCAACGAGACGTTTTATTTGAGCGTTTTTATCGCGTAAAATGTGCGCTGTAGCGCACTTTGTCCGTGAACGTTTGTGAGCGCGCGTGTGTGGGGAGCGGTAGTGTAGCGATTAGCGCGCTGCGCTACGAACCTGGCAACCCGGGTTCGCTTCCCGCTCACGGCCAACACCAGTGACGATTATCTGAACCGGTCCTGGGCCTCCCCTAGGTCGACTCAGCTTCATAAGAGTACCTGGTGCGGTGTGTAAACATCGCCACTAGGGAGACAAAGGCGGTCGGACGTGGTGCTGGCCACCCACCCCCTCGTGTACCGTTTCGGCCTTCATAGGTGCTCGCTAACAGCACTTGCCCCTACAGTCTGTTAAGGCTATACGGGGGATCTTTGTGTGTGTGTGTGCATATGCGTGCCTCTATGGGGAGCGGTAGTGTAGTGGTTAGCGCGCTGCGCTACGAACCCGGCGACACGGGTTCGATGCCCGCTCACGGCCAACACCCAGTGAGGATTATCTGAACTGGTCATGGGCCTCCCCAGGGTTGACGCAGCCTCAAATGAGTACCTGGTGCGGTGTGTAAACTTCGCCACTGGGGAGACAAAGGCGGCCGGGCGTGGTGGTGGCCACCCACCCCGTCCCTCGTGTGCCATGCTGGCCTTCAGGTGTTCTCTAACGGCACTTGCCCTAATAGTCTTTTCAGGCTATGCGGGGATCCTTGTCTTTGTTGTGGGTGTGCAGGAGCGTGCCGGTGTGCAGGAGCGTGAGCGTGCGAGCGCGCGCGTCAGTGTTTGCGTGTGCGTGAGGGCACGTGCCTCCGCGTGCGTGCGCGTGCCTTCATGGGTGTGAACTCTCACAGACGCCGTGCGAGACGTCTACCACCCAGGGTGCTGTGCCTGACCCGTCGCTCGCTCGTACTGCGCTGAGAGCGGGTTTGTGTGTGCGCTGAGTGCGGGTTTGTGTGTGTATTACGGTTCTGAATGCCTCCCCTTACCACGCTTGCGGAGGTTACTTGACCATACTTCACCACGCTCGTCAGTGCGGGTTGATGAAGTTGGTGAGCATAGACACGCGAGCGTAGGAGTACAGTGCAACGGTGGATTTGTTTGCACTGCCTTTTGCTACCCACGATTTCGTCCCGCTACAAGTCCTGTTTAGCGGATGCGCCGTGACCCTAACCGTGACCCGAATGAAGTGCGTGGTAAAAGTGATGTCATTGGACAAAGCAGACTTTAATGTTGTTTTCTGCTGACATTCCCTAGACCTGTTCAAATGTCTTCGGACATCACCGTGTGCGTCTTGTTGTAAGCCAGCGTCTATGTCCGTGAAAGCATTACGCAACCGTCTCAACAAAACCCTGCAGCCGTGTACAGTATTTGAATACCAAACCTGCCTTTGAGAATGTTACGACTCTAAATTAAAATGTACGCTCTATGCTTTCTTAAGCGATATACCGGCATCAAATTTTAGCCGTAAGTCAATTGTCCAACAGGTCATTGTCAGAGTGAATGGCGCTGTGAATCTAAAATGATTGAAATGCGCCTTCCAGCATACAAACGCACACATCGCAGAAGACCGTTACAGCACGTGACGTATGTTGATTTAGACTGACAGTTATATGAGTGGGACAAGAGAAAGGGTTAAAGAGCGAGGCAAGGCTTTGGAGGTGCAGCAACAGCATGAATCATATGTAGACTGTTAAACAGCCCGGTAATTGTAAGATACCAATTGCATTTTTTTTTTACAAAACTTCAGGAAGCTCAACATTTCAAGAGAGTACAAAATCCGCAGATTGTCAATCATCGGGGCCAGACGAAACAATTCGCTTATGCGCGGAGAATGACTAACGCCGATTCCCTGTTGTGCCCTTGCTCGCTGGCGCGCTGGAGATGCTGCGATGCAGACGAGCGAGTGTGGAGAATGTTGCCGTCTGATGTTTATTCTCTGCGCATTGCCGTCAGTCTCCACTGCCGCAGTAAAAACGGGCCGGAGAATGAAAGCGTAAAAGGGAAGACTGTCCCCTACGCATCGTTCCTGCCGAATTGCAATTGCGACGTAGAGGGTTAGCCATTTATGAACACCCCACCGATTTATAATGGCCCTCGTTCTTCTCAACAGGTGATTGAGTACCGTGCGAGATACATCTACACATCTCAGTGTTCAGATATTAGGCGAGCGTTGAGGTGTGTCGACGCTTCGGAATGATGCGTCATTTTATTCGTAAAATGATGTCATATTTTAGCGGGGCGTTATCTATGAATGGATGAACGTGCAGAGTCGGTGCCATCTCTGAAAGCTCCACATTTCTCCAGAGTTTCTCGACGTCACCGATTTCTCGGAGCTTTTGAAAAGAACCCAGAGAACCCAGCGGAGAAGCGGCATCTTTTTGGGGAGAAGCGATAAACGTGGAGGTTTCATCTGGAGCCGAGCTCGAATTGAACGTCGCCGCATTTGCTTTTGCCACTTTGCGGCTGGCTGGCGGAGTGGGGCGCTGGCAACAGCTGTGGCATTAGTATGCAGGGTGCCGCCACAGACACGAGCCGGAGCCGCCGTGGCGGTGGCAGCGGCGTGCTCACGTGCAGGGGAGCGTGTCGCATTTCTAATGAGGGAGAGGCCTGATGAGCGCCGTATGATAAATACACATTAGCAGCGTGCACATTTAAATGGAGGGGGTGAGGGGGGACAATGCTGTCGAGTGATGATGTTATGGATTGTAAATACCCGGTAATATTCGCTGTTTTATACTCTTAATGTTGTGGGGGTTGTTTTTTCTGAATAATTTGAATGTGTTATTGATATGAGATTTATTACACCGTACAGTGCGCGCCTGTGACCAACATCGCGAGGGAACGTGCCCGGTCGTGTAGGCACTCGCAAGCTAAGCGGGGTTGAGCCTGGATAGTGCTTGGCTGGGCTTCCCCTCCGATTGCGTAACAGGTGCTGTAGGCTGCGTGGCTACATGGTGCGTATCGGAGGGGGATGCAGCACAATCCATCGTTGCACGTCACTACTTTTAATCCACATCTATGCAGCTGGCCTTCATCGACCCACACTGCCCAGCTTGGCATAGTATGGTCAAATAACCCCCATGGCTTTAAGAGGCCCTCGTCCACGCAAGGGCTGTGCATTAACGTGTCCAGCGTGCGTGTAAAACTAGAATAAACGCGCCTGCACGAATATCTTCGCATGGTAATAGCGATGAGTCTCCAGAAGCATTTACCGGTGTGTTTTGGCGTGCGGTGTTTATCCCCGCACTGTATTTGTATGGCCGTCGCAGTTCTTGTCGGCTGCACACAAATACGAGTGAGCCAATCGCGTGACGGTAACAAGGCTGTTGGTTTATTATTCTTAGGTTGTGCATCGTTGCCGTCATCATTCTCAACCAGCCTGTATCCAGGCACGGCCCGGTTTGGTAGCCAACATCTCTCGAGAGGAGCCCTCTTCTGTCTCCATCGCTCTCTGGTCCTCTCCCCTCCCTTCCAAGTCCTGCGTGACACCAGATTGACACCTCGTCCTCGCCCCATTCTCTCAATCTCCGACTCAACGGACCACCTCGCAAAGTGGCTTCCCTCCGTCCGCCGCGTGTGATCGCACCGCGTCAGCCCTGCCCTATCTTTCAGAGCAGTTTTCCTTCTGCCGTGTCCCTAGTGTGCTTGCTTCTCATGCTGTTTCAGCTGCTTGTTGTTCTACTCGCTTCCCTCCTGCCTCGTATCCACATCCCCGCAGCGTGTGTGTGCGTGTGATATGTTTTGTACAGGACCTCTTTGAATCTCCCGGGCTCCTCTCCATTCCGTGCCAGTCCCTAAAAGAAGCTGTTTGCTCTCTGAAATCCTGGTGCTGAATTACAATTATTGCTGATTTACATCACCAATTTACATTGCTGTTTGAGCATCCATGCGTTGACTTTAGGTGTATAGTTGTAAAGGTGCAGCCCTGTAATTCCCTGCTCACACCACTGCTGGCTGAAGGGCCTTCGAGAGAGCCCCTGCAGTGAGTAGTTTGGCCTTCTCGTTCCTGCTGGCCATACGTCTTGGAATGATGAGGAGTTCCCACACTCCCACACTTCCACCCTCCACACGTGACCTGCCAATCGATTAACTGTGGCCTAACCATTTATACTGGCATGTGGATAGAGGTGTGGGGATTTCATAAACTCTTACATTGTGCGGCATGCTGACCGTAATTCCATGGCGGGAGTGGCGGTGGCATCGACAGCTTTTGATGCGTCCCTCTGCCTCGCTTCTGCACGCACTCACCGACATCGGAGTCGTCGCGTGGACGCCGCCATCAATTGACCCGGGTCACGTGTTGCGCAGGGCAATGGAGGCAGAGTCCCACAAGTCGCTCCCGAACACCGGCGACGTTGGCTCCGAGAGGCGCGGGACACCCCCCCCGCCGGCGCTACGAGGACGAGCGGGCGGGCACCCCCGCGGACGACTACGAGGACGACGACCGCGAGGAAGAGGACTACGACGAGGACTCGGAGGCGCGGCGATACCGCTACTCCCCGGGCTCCCGCTCGGCCACGGACTGGGACGAGGACACGCGCGGCGCGTGCTCCGACACGCCCTCGCGCTCCGCGTCGCCCTCGCGCTCCGCGTCGCCCGGGTCGCGCAGCGGGGCCACGTCCGGGAGCTGCGGCGGAGCGACGGGGGAGCGGCGAGGGGGGGGAGCGGCGAGCGAGGCGAGGTCGGCGAGGTCGGCGAGGTCGGCGAGGTCCGCGAGGTCCGCGAGGTCGGCGAGCCGCGCGGGAACGCCGAGCGCCAGCGACGAGCGCTGCGGAGGTCGCGCCAGCCGGACGAGCTCCGCGAGCCGGGACGGCGACACGCGACGGGAGAGCCACGTGTACGAAGAGGGGGTGATGAGCGACAGCACGGCCGTCCTCGGCACGGAGGTCAGCGCGAGTCGGCGTCGCCGTCGGGCATCGACCGATCGGGGTTCGAAGTCGGCGAGTGTCGTTTTCTCGAACGCCGCTCGTTTCTCCACGTGCGCACGCAGGAGGAATCCATGCACGGTTTGGAGCAAGGCCTCTCCGCCGTGGCCGCGAAACAAAACGAGCCGATCTCCAAGTGCGGAAATCTGGACGTGAAGGTGGCCTACAGCACCGGCGCGCAGAAGCTGGAGGTCACCGTGCTGTCGGCGCACGACATTCCGGCCAAGCAGCGCAGTGGCGCCAACACCTGGCAGGTGCGGGCCGCAGCGACGCCAGAAACGTGAAAGCGATACAAAGTTTTGTAATTGCGGCAAAAGCTGGAGCGCTATTGTGTTTGCAACCGAGATGGCCACAGCGGTGTTCATAATAGTTTTCGTTTGCCGAATACCAACGACCGATTTGGGAGCCACGCAGCGAGTTTAGTGATGTTTAGTGTTCAACGTCATTAGAGGCTCATTCAGGGACAAGCGATTTGTCTTGCTGGCATATCACGAAAGTGTGAAGCACACGATTGCTGTAGTTTGTGGACTTCAGGTACAGGTGAAGCAGGCGTGTTTAGTATCCCGTCACCAGCATACGAATGAAATGAGCTCGCGCGCGCTTGCGTGGTGCGTGTCATTCCGTCGGTGCGTGACGTTAAATTTGTGCAATATTTTACGACGAACGGCACACGTTTTGAAACGTAAATGCCTTGCGAAGAGATGAAGTGGCCACGCATGCCACGCGCACCGTTACCCCCCCCCCCACCCACCCCGCTCTCTCTCCCTCCCCTTCTCGCCTCACGCAGGTGCACCTGGTGCTGCTCCCCACCAAGCGACAGCGCTTCAAGACGAGCGTGCAGAACGGCGAGACCCCCGTCTTCCAGGAGTCCTTCCGCTTCTCGGCGTTGGAGCCGGGCGAGCTGTCGACCTACGCGCTACGCTTCCGCCTGTATGCCGTGCGCTCGATGAACCGCGAGCGCATGATGGGCGAGAAGCTGCTCTACCTGAGCAAGCTGTCTCCCGACCTGAGCACCGAGCTGTCCCTGCTGCTCGAGCCGCGCTGCAATATCAGTGTAAGCCGCCGCCGCCGCCGCCGCCACCGCCACCCTTGTGATTTTTAACTTTGATCCTGACCCGTGTATCGAAAGTTAAATTTTAATGTGTCATGTTATTGACAGACTGTGTGTTCTTTTGTGGTGTGGTCTGAGACTGTTTTTCTTTTTTGTTGTTTTGCTGCCTTGCCAAAGCTTGCTTGTGGTGTGGAGAAAAATCGACAGGAATTTGTGTACTTGTCCAATTTGTACTTGGACAATTTATTTATTTTAATTTACTTTAGTGACTCGCTTACCTCTTCTCTATTTTGCACTCCTACCGTTTACGAACCGGCGACGTTGACGCCGCGCGCCCGGTGCCCGCTGTCGCTCCCCCATCAGACGGGCGAGTCCCAGCAGAGCCTGTCGGCGATCTCGCGCAGCGACAGCGCCTCCTCCAACCAGTCGCTGTCGCACGGCGGCTCCCCCGAGCTTCTCGCGGGCCTCTCCTACAACCCCACCACAGGCCGCCTGGCCGTGGAGGTCGTCAAGGGCAGCCACTTCCGCAACCTCGCCGTCAACCGGCCCCCGGGTAGGCGCGGCGTGCGGCACCGCGAGTTTGCGGCGAGCGCGGCCAAGCGATTCCCTCGCCCCCCCCCGCTCCACCTCCCCTCCCCCACATGGAGACTTCCCGGGTTTTATAATCGGGACCAGTAATTTGCAGTGTAATTTGCCGGCAGTGTGATGTTGGCCAATGCCAGTTACTACACTCGGTGTATTTTATCTATGGGAAAAAACTGGAAAACCTGGCAGAAACCCATGCAGAACAGGGGGATGATTCAGAAGCCGGTGCCCTGTTTAGCCAAGCTTCACGAGTGTTACCACTGTGCTGCCCGTTTGACCGCGCGCGTGCGCGCCTCTGTCGTCCTCGTGCCCAGATACGTACGTGAAGCTCTCGCTGCTCAACTCGGTGGGGCAGGAGATGTCCAAGAGCAAGACGTCAGTGAGACGGGGGCAACCCAATCCCGTCTACAAGGAGACCTTCATCTTCCAGGTGGCCCTCTTCCAGCTCTCCGACGTGACGCTCATGCTGTCCGTGTACAACAAGCGCAGCATGAAGCGGAAGGAGATGATCGGCTGGGTCTCGTTGGGTGCAAACCACAGCGGGGAAGAGGAGCTAAGCCATTGGACGGAAATGAAAGACTCCAAGGGGCAGCAGGTGTGCCGCTGGCACTCGCTGCTTGAGTCTTAGCAGGGCACGAGAGCGCTGGCCGGTCGCGCAAGGCGCGGGTCGACCCGCGCTCTCCGGCTCGTTTGAGTCGCCGTTACGCGACACGCCCCCCAGCGCCGTCTCGAGGAGAAGAGGCGCTCGCTGCATGGTTGTCGGGGAACACGTTTAACGGATAGAGAAGCGCTCCTCCGATACGCAAGGACCCTTTTCGCCGAACGTCGTCTCGCCGGGGTTACTCGTCACCGCCGTCGGGTTTGGTCGGTCCGCCCCTCCACTGGGGTGGACGTAGCACGGGAAGCTTTCGCGAAGACATCCTCACGTGGTGGGAAACGCGGACGATTTGGTGGGACAATATCCCAGAAATCTCTTGCAAGCCTTATTATGAGCACATATACAGCACACATTTGTGTGTGATGCTACGGTAAGACGTAAGAACGGTGTAATTTGGGGTTGGCATGTTTTCTGACTTTAAATGGAGGGAGATGAAGCATTTATATGAATGACTGTAATTTGCCACTGATTATTGGTATTGCAAACAAGTTATATGCTGCAGCAGTTTGTCATTTGAAATTGTATCACAACTGTTAAATAGCAGCCCGGCTCCAGTGTCCCTCCGTTTTGGCGCAGTGCTTTGTGCAAGCATCAATAAACGAGACACTGTCACAATGTATTTGCCATCACATGTTGTTAGCTCGCTCGCTTTGGTTGCATTGTTGGCTTGGGACGCTAATTCTTCTTCATGTTGGTCGAACGTTTGGAATGTGATGGAACTGCCAGGGTTCTTGTTTGACCTTGCTCTTGTTAAATGGCGTGTTTAATGAGTAATTTATGACACATGGACTATTTATTCTGTATTATTATCTTTGGTTTTGAAATTGGGATGTAATGATTCAGACACTGGAAGGTATGTGACAGGAACCTCTGTTTAACCTTCCCATAGTTTAATTTTCATTGTTGAAGCACCCATGCATGACTAAGAGTTTCACTTGCGGCATTATTGCCAAGTCACGTATTCCCATTGCTTGTGTTCCGTGTCTGGCGCCTCCTTTACCCATCTCCAATACGTGCAACACTTTATAATCGTAGTGACTGTAGCTATAGTTGTATGCAATAAACCTTTCACGTAAATTACTTCATTAAAACTTGCTTGAAAAATGCAGCGTTTATAGATGATGACTCAATGTGTGGTTGCTCCGTGTCTGCTGTTATGGGCATTTTAGATCACCGCTTCTGTCGTCGTGTGTGGCACAGAATATTCGAACTAATGGGGACACACAAAACTAGCTGGGTGTGAATGTTGAAGATTGTTTATTGGTGTTCAAATCCAAATTCTACTTTTGAGAACAAACCCACAACACATTTGCAAAAATCGTTGGACCCTTCAGCCGATATTCTTTTTCATCTCGCACCTTGCGAAGGAGTAACTCCTGGCAGGCTCCTCATTGTCTAAATAAGTGGTATTCGGTGCAGTTCTCAAAGCATTTGAGACATTCACTAAATATTCGATATGGGGCCCATGGTTTTACAACGCATCGATGAGACAATAACAGGGAGGTTGCAGCAGTGGCACGGTGGTTCGTGCCGCTGTGCTGCGAACCACCGTGCCACTGCTCTGCGAACCACCGTGCCACTGTGCTGCGAACCACCGTGCCGCTGTGCTGCGAACCCAACTCCCAGAGTTCGATTCCCAGCCAAGGCGAACATCGGTGGCCAGTGATACCTGAACCCGTTCTGGACCTCCTGCTTCACTAAGCCGATGAAGTATGGTCCCGCACCGCAGGTTAGCACGGTTGGCTACGTACGGTGCGAAAGAAGTTCTACATACAACAATGAGTGGGGATTGGGTGGGGGGGGGGCTTTGTGTTCACCAATAGATTGACAAAGGGATGTGAATCACTTACTATTATTCTTAATAGGAGTCATTGGTGCTTGGCGTTCATCTGAGATTTACTACACAGCCAAAATACACATAACGCTGGAACGTGATGCAAACGCAGCCGACGCGACGATGTCAGAGCCGACCGCGCCCGTGACTCCACGCCAGCAACTCCGGGCTGGACATGACGAGGTCGCAGCCAGCTGCGCTCCAGCCAACAGCGACGCGTTCTGCGTGCGCTACTTCCCCAGGGCGCGCCTCGTTGAGGGCGCCACCCACTCATGTTCTATCGCGCTACAAGCAGAGCAGAGGGGGGCCGCTGTGGGAGTCGGAGTCGTGTCGCGTTTAGGGTGGGGGTCGGGGGGGGTGCTGTGCTTGTGGCCAAGTGGGGGGCGCACAAGCGGGGCCACGCAGCAGGAGCAGCAGCAGGAGCAGCAGCAGCTGCGGCAGCGGCGTTTCGCTTTGCAGCAACTCGCCAGAGAGGCCCCGTGGCTGTGATGGGGCGCTCGCCCAGTCGAGCAGCGCCTGCGAAGCGAAATTGAGCCTGGGTAGCGGACGGGTGGGTGACCGCCATGCATAACAGGTGTTATAGGTTGCAGGGCTCTAACGCCTGTTAGGTATGGTGATCACGGGTGTTGTAGGCTGCAGGGCGGCGTTGTGAGCAGGTGAGGGCAGTGCAGCAAAAACCCATAGTTGTACCGTACTCCTATGTCACCGCGTATATATTCTCCTCCCCGACTGCAGCAACCCACTGACCAGCGCTGGTGTGGTGAAGCAGGGTGTGGGTGATCCACACAACCCGTGTCCGACGGCAGTGGGTAAAGAATGGGCCGTGCCCGTCCCACGAGAGGGACACACACACATTCACTCCCACGAGAGGGACACACACACATTCACTCCCACGAGAGGGACACACATTCACTCCAACGAGAGGGACACACACATTCACTCCCACGAGAGGGACACACACACATTCACTCCCACGAGAGGGACACACACACGCACACATTCACTTCCACGAGAGGGACACACACACATTCACTCCAACGAGAGGGACACACACATTCACTCCCACGAGAGGGACACACACGCACACATTCACTCCCACGAGAGGGACACACATTCACTCCAACGAGAGGGACACACACATTCACTCCCACGAGAGGGACACACACACATTCACTCCCACGAGAGGGACACACACACGCACACATTCACTTCCACGAGAGGGACACACACACATTCACTCCAACGAGAGGGACACACACATTCACTCCCACGAGAGGGACACACACACATTCACTCCCACGAGAGGGACACACACACATTCACTCCCACGAGAGGGACACACACATTCACTTCCACGAGAGGGACACACACATTCACTCCCACGAGAGGGACACACACACATTCACTCCAACGAGAGGGACACACACATTCACTCCCACGAGAGGGACACACACACATTCACTCCCACGAGAGGGACACACACATTCACTCCCACGAGAGAGACACACACACATTCACTCCAACGAGAGGGACACACACATTCACTCCCACGAGAGGGACACACACACATTCACTCCCACGAGAGGGACACACACACATTCACTCCCACGAGAGGGACACACACATTCACTCCCACGAGAGGGACACACACACATTCACTCCCACGAGAGGAGGTACGCACACACTCCCACGAGAGTGACACACACACATTCACTCCCACGAGAGGGACACACACACATTCACTCCCACGAGAGGGACACACACACATTCACTCCCACGAGAGGGACACACACACATTCACTCCCACGAGAGGGACACACACACATTCACTCCCACGAGAGGGACACACACACATTCACTCCAACGAGAGGGACACACACATTCACTCCCACGAGAGGAACACACACATTCACTCCCACGAGAGGGACACACACACATTCACTCCCACGAGAGGGACACACACACATTCACTCCCACGAGAGGAGGTACGCACACACTCCCACGAGAGTGACACACACACATTCACTCCCACGAGAGGGACACACACACATTCACTCCCACGAGAGGGACACACACACATTCACTCCCACGAGAGGGACACACACACATTCACTCCCACGAGAGGGACACACACACATTCACTCCCACGAGAGGGACACACACACATTCACTCCCACGAGAGGGACACACACACATTCACTCCCACGAGAGGGACACACACACATTCACTCCCACGAGAGGGACACACACACATTCACTCCCACGAGAGAGACACACACACATTCACTCCCTCGAGAAAGACACACACACATTCACTCCCACGAGAGGGACACACACACATTCACTCTCACGAGAGGGACACACACACATTCACTCCCACGAGAGTGACACACACACATTCACTCCCACGAGAGGGACACACACACATTCACTCCCACGAGAGGGACACACACACATTCACTCCCACGAGAGGGACACACACACACATTCACTCCCACGAGAGGGACACACACACATTCACTCCCACGAGAAGGACACACACACATTCACTCCCACGAGAAGGACACACACACATTCACTCCCACGAGAGGGACACACACACATTCACTCCCACGAGATAGACACACACATTCACTCCCACGAGAGAGACACACACACATTCACTCCCACGAGAGGGACACACACATTCACTCCCACGAGAGGGACACACACACATTCACTCCTACGAGAGGGACACACACACATTCACTCCCACGAGAGAGACACACACACATTCACTCCCACGAGAGAGACACACACACACATTCACTCCCACCGCCGGTGGCTCCCACTCTGCGGGGGTGCGCATGAAACCTGCCCCGGGTTGGCGGCTCTGCGCAAGAGCGAGGGGCTCGCAATGGGAAGTTGCGAAGTTCACACCCTGCTGGGGGTTGACTCAAGACGATCAATCCCGCTGGGCTCGATTCAATTATTACAGGTCTCTTCCCTTTATTCGGATTCGATTTGTGCGATTTGGCGTATTTGCGGCTAACCTAATTCTACCAAACAATCGCTTTATGCTGTTTGAATTAACTCATATGCGGCCGGACCTGGGTCAACATTGTATGTAGAACTTTTTTGCACCGTACGTAGCCAATCGTGCTTATCGGAGGTGCGGGGGAAGGACATCAGACTAAACACTTTACTGTGTGGGCTCCTCGGCAGGCAGCTGTTTCCGAGCACGGCTTCGCTTTGTGCGCCATTCTCTTGGAACGCATCGACTACTCTCGCGTAGCGGGAGGGGGTAGACCTGCACGGTACCACTTTGTGGGCAAAGTGAATAGAGGTCATGTGGATCACCTCGTCCCCACCGTGGAAATGGGGAATTCCCACCACTGGTTCAGGGACAGGAGTTGAGCATCTCCAATGCTCAGTAGAGCAGGACATCACTGCCCGCACAGCATCAGCTGATGATGACCAATCCCCATGAAAAATTGTGGCTTCTGTTTTGGCATCGATGCCTGACAAACCCCTGCATATGTCGCTTCTAGTTGGGTCGCCGTGTCTCTCCCTCTCTCTTCTGCTGTGCTCCCTCCCCTCTCCCCATCCCTTACACCCGAAGCAAGTTTTTATTTAATTTCATTTTTTGTAAAGCGTCTCGAGATCTAATTGCATCAGATGCGGTATACATTTTTAGTAGAGTTCTAGTTACAACACAATCCCTTCTCGCGGATTTTTTGTTAAAATCTGGCCAATCAATTAATTTCCGCAATCATAGCTCAAAATTATTATAATTAATAGTTTGTTTTTGGCCGCTTGATGTGCCTTGTCCGCGTTCATGATGCTATCCCACAAACGCATGAGCATAACATACTTATTACGTTATTTGTATAATCATCACGTGATTCGTTGTGTGCACCATGAGCGTGAGAATGTACGACGCTTGATGAATGAATGATTGAATGCGCACCTAATCAAGAGTGGGTAAACACTTAATTTAGTACTTCCACAATTGCCCTCTGATTTCCCAAAGGGGGGCGGGGTTATTTATTTGAAACGAGAGGGAAAAAAATCTGCTCTTTGTTCAATCGCTCTGAAACCGTCTCGCCAGCGTCTGTCCATGCAGGCGCCTCGCTCCTTCCAGTCTCTTATTTTGTCCCAAACATTGGCACGCAATGATCCCACTGATAATTCCCGTACAGGGTAGTGCTGTGACAGAGGGATTTCAAAGACTGAACATTACTACTATACTGCTATCTAAGACATCAGGCGATGCTTTAAATGTGTCTACACACTATATAGCTGTAATTGGTTATACATACACAAAGCGCGTAGCCATGAATGGATGATTGCCACGCAAGTCAATGTGATTCGTCGCCTGATTTCGAGCGGTGAGAGAACAATATTTGTTCTGTGTGAGTTGGTAAAGAGGCAGCGCTGCAATGTCGAGCTTGGCGCCGTTGCTGGCAGAGAGCCTCCACTCGGGGGGGGGGCGGGGGGGATACGAGAGAGCCCGAGGCGGTTGTGGCAAACTGGCGATGCAAATGTCACTTTATTCACAATCCTGCCAGGTGGATGAGCGACGGGAATTTTGGAATTTCCACCTCTGGCTCAGGGCTCTACATTCTAAGATAAGCGCCGCCTCAAGGCTCATTGGATCAAAGAAATAACCCCGACCTTTGATTAATTATTATTATTTTTGCGGGTCAGTCTGCGGCCTCTCTTGCGAGTTAATCCTTGCTTGCGGACAAGTAGATTAGGAAAGGAATAATTTAAAGGCCATGCTTCATAATTTGTATAATGAGCGCGTTCATTCATTCACAAAGTGGAACACAGCTTGGCAAAGCTTTAACCCCCCCACCCCCCACAGCGCCCACCTACTCCTTCCCCCGCTGTGGTCTTTGCGTGGGCTCCTGTAATAGACTCGCACACTCCACAGCGTCCTCCAACCCCATCTTCCTCAGTCCCGTAAAATCGCTGCTCCGCAACACGCGGGCCCGACACGAGAGAGCCGAGCCATCACACCCCGGACACCGCCACTCCGTGACGCCCCCCCCCCCCTCCCCCCTGCCCCCGCCCCCCCCCCCGTAACGCCTCGTCTGGATCGCTTCATCATCTCCGCTCGCTCGGCATCGCCGCCTTTCCCCGGGACCCGGGGGAGCGTCCCTCCCCGCCTGCGACGAATGAATGAACGAATGAACGACTTTGCCCCGGGCCGGTCAGCGATCTCCCCGGTAGATGTACAACAGCGGAGAGGGCACGCAATGGAGGATTAGCGACGGGGAGGAGGAACGACTCTGAACGACTCTGTTCGAGGAATGACTTTCATTTCTGAGCGGTCGGACAAAGACACACACACATACACACACGTGCGTGATCTCTAAATGAGTTTCAGATTAAAGTAGAATCTGCAGAGGTTGTGTACAACAGGAGAAGAGACGAGTCATGGTGGAGAAGAGATGATGAAGTCACCGCGATGGAAGCGAGGGTAGTAAGTGGAGCCCCGGGCTGCCCGGAGCGACCCGGGGCGCGCTCAGGGCGCCGGCGGAGGACGAGGGAGGAGGGCAAGGGGGGAGGGGGGCAGGGGGGAGGAGCAGGGGGGGAGGAGCAGGGGGAGGGAGAGGAGCAGGGGGGAGAGGAGCAGGGGGGAGGGGGAGGAGCAGGGGGAGGGAGAGGAGCAGGGGGGAGAGGAGCAGGGGGGAGGGGGAGGAGCAGGGGGAGGAGCAGGGGGAGGGAGAGGAGCAGGGGGGAGGGAGAGGAGCAGGGGGAGGGAGAGGAGCAGGGGGGGAGGGGGAGGAGCAGGGGGAGGGAGAGGAGCAGGGGGGAGGGAGAGGAGCAGGGGGGGAGGAGCAGGGGGGAGGAGCAGGGGGGAGGGAGAGGAGCAGGGGGGAGGGAGAGGAGCAGGGGGAGGGAGAGGAGCAGGGGGAGGGAGAGGAGCAGGGGGGGAGGAGCAGGGGGGGAGGAGCAGGGGGAGGGAGAGGAGCAGGGGGAGGGAGAGGAGCAGGGGGGAGGGAGAGGAGCAGGGGGGCGGGGGAGGAGCAGGGGGGAGGGGGAGGAGCAGGGGGGAGGGGTGGAGCAGGGGGGGCGGGAGAGGAGCAGGGGGGGGGGGAGCAGGGGGGGAGGGAGAGGAGCAGCGAGTGAGGTGAGTGCATGGGGTGGGTGTGTACTGCGTGGGGGTGTGTAGGTGTACTGCGTGGGTATGTGTGAGATGTGTATTGAACGTCGCGTGTGGTTTTGTGCAGACATACTGCCTGGATGTACATGGTTATGTGGTCGGGGTGTGTCTGGCTGTGTGAGTGTATGGGTCGTGTGTAGGTGTGTGTGAGTGTATGGGGTCGTGATGGATGCTCATCCTGTCCGCACCGCGCCGCTTCTCCCTCGCCCCACCGCTCCCCTCCCCGAGCCGCACAGAACCCCTCGCCAGCGCGAGAAGCGCCGTGCCCTCCTCACTCTTCCATTGCCACTCTCACGGGCAGAGGCAATGGGCCGCTCGTCCGGTGCTCGCTGCAGATTGATATTACGCGGCCTCTCTGATCCCTCCGCTACGCGGGAGGGGCCATTGGCCGAAACGTCGCCCGTTATATAATTTTAACGCTTTTTGGGCCCCCGCGTTTGTTTGACGCATGCTGTTGGGTTGTTGTTGTTGGTGGTGGTGGTGGTGGTATGTCTGGCGGTTGCGCTGCCCCGCTGCTAAGGCGGCAGCAGGAGGAGGATCAGGATCAGCAGTCCCCGGTGCTCTGGTGATGCGCGTGGCCACGCGTGGAGCCGGGGGCGGTGGAGCTCGCCCGAATCACAGCCCGGATCACAGCCCGGATCGCAGCCCGGATCGCAGCGCGAATCACAGCCCGGATCACAGCCCGAATCACAGCCCGGATCACAGCCCGGATCACAGCCCGGATCGCAGCGCGAATCACAGCCCGGATCACAGCCCCGATCACAGCCCGGCAGCAGCAGCGGCGGCGGCGGCGGTCCGGGCAGCGCGCGGAGCAGCTGCCACTCGCCGCCTCGCCTCCCGGCCCGCCAGCTCGGCCACGGAGCCTCCTCCTCCTCCTCCACAGCGGGCGGTGAGTGAGCTTCACCATCCATTAGGCGGCCTAATGAGATTGATCGACGCTGGCGGTATCGGGTTAAAGCGATGTTAATGCCAATGGCCAACTTGCGCAGGCCACGGCATCCCCCCCCCATTCCAATCCCCCCCCCATTCCAATCCCCCCCCACCAACCCCCCCACCAACCCCCCCACCCCGCTGCTCCGTGGCTATCCCCCGCCGGGCGGATTGGATGCATGCGACGTGCTGCATATGTATTCGTGTGTGTGTGTATTAGTGCGTGTGTGTGTTCGTGCGAGTGTGTGTGTTCGTGCGTGTTCGTGCGTGTGTGCGTGTTCGTGCGTGTGTGTGTGCGCGTGTGTGTGTTCGTGCGTGTGTGTGTTTGTGTGTGTTCGTGCGTGTTCGTACGTGTGTGTGTTAGTGCGTGTGTGTGTTCGTGCGAGTGTGTGTGTTTGTGTGTGTTCGTGCGTGTTCGTGCGTGTGTGTGTTAGTGCGTGTGTGTGTTCGTGCGAGTGTGTGTGTTTGTGTGTGTTCGTGCGTGTGTGCGTGTTCGTGCGTGTGTGTGTGCGCGTGTGTGTGTTCGTGCGTGTGTGTGTGCGTGTGTGTGTTTGTTCGTGTGTGTTTGTTCGTGTGTGTGTGTTCGTGCGTGTGTGTGTGTGTGTGTTCGTGCGTGTGTGTGCGCGTGTGTGTTCGTGAGTGTGTGTTCGTGCGTGTGTATGTGTGCGCGTGTGTGCGCGTGTGTGTGCGTGTGTTCGTGCGTGTGTGTGTGTTCGTGCGTGTGTGCGTGTTCGTGCGTGTGCGCGTCTGAGATGGTGCTTGTCGAACGCAATTGAAACGGCGAATAACGCGGATTTGTGTCTCGTGGTTTGTCTCGCACGGCAGCGGAGTGTCGCGTGGAGCCGAGGTCCCTGAGTAGGACGCGCCCTTGAGGGGTGGGTGGGTGGGTGGGGGCCACTTCTGTGAAGGCGAAGTGAGAGATGAATGCGCGGTCTCGATTTGAAAACCGTCCTCTGCCATCTGGCTTTATTTGAGCCCCGTGTCGTGAGTGCTGTATGGAGGACGGCCAGCACTGTGTGAGAGAGTGTGAGAGAGTGTGCAAGTGTGTGCGTACACACGGGGCAGGGCATGCCCCAAGCGCTCGCATCGCCGCGTCAGCGGCCAGATGTTGTGAAGGCGGTCAGTTTTGTGTCTCGCTCGCTCGCTCGCTTCCTTTTAAGGAGACGGCCGTCTGTAGAGACGGGACGAGTCGCGAGCCACCCTCCCTGTACGGGAAGAGAGTCAAGCCCTCCGCTTGTGGGCGCGAACCATCCCACAGCGACTCCCCTCCTCCTCCTGCCATATCCTACATAACGCGTTCCGATCAATCCGACTGGATCGGTACCAGCCCCGGAACCCCCACTGCCCCCCCCCCTCTTGCCCCCCCTCCTTCTTGCCCCCCCTCCCTCTTGCCCCCCTCCTTCGCACACCGCCCCCCCCTGGGGCCAGCATACCTTGGCATGGACACAAGCACTCCATTGTTCCCGTGCCGCCCTCTAGCGCAGCAGCAGCCTTGCAGACATTTTACTGCTTCGTGTCCCGCGGCTCCGAGCGAGGCGTCTGCGTGATTTTGTTATTTTGTGATTTTTACTCCATCCCCTGTGGGTTCTCTATCCAGAAGAACCCATTGCCCGAACCGTCGTCCTTTTGATTAACGCAATTATGTATATACTACACACGGTGTGTATGTAAATATATAATTATATCTTATATATGTTGTTGTTTTGGGCAGTGTTACTGGTGAAGGTTCGTGGTGAGACACTGCTTCGAGATGATGTGAAGCGACGCCGTCCTGCTGTGATGTTAATCTGCTGCTGCTTTGACAGGGTCGCACGAGCAGACGTCACAAAACACCACTCGAGAACAACAACAACATTATAGACCACGTGTCACAGGCTTACATCTCTCTGCCATTATACGGACCGTTCATAGCAGTCTTATTGACCAGTGTGTTATGCAGCGATGATAGATGTGGACATCCTGGAAAGCCAAAGCAGGTCCATTCATCGCGTTAGTAATTATCCAGGCACGTGGCGCAGATGTAGATGCCCGGCTGTTGTAGTTCACGTTTCGAAGGTCGAATTAACAGCGTCAGCAGCTGAGCTCACAGGTGTGACGTGAACACAAACCTCCGAGCTGTGACAGCGGCCGCCACATCACAGTTCACAACGGCATAGTTCACAACGTCACAGTTCACAACGTCATAGTTCACAATGTCACAGTTCACAACGTCATGGTTCACACCATCACAGTTCACAACGTCATAGTGCACAACGTCACAGTTCACAACGTCACGGTTCACACCATCACAGTTCACAACGTCATGGTTCACAACGTCATAGTTCACAACGTCATGGTTCACAACGTCATAGTTCACGTCACAGTTCACAACGTCATAGTTCACAACGTCATAGTTCACACCATCAGAGTTCACACCATCACAGTTCACAACGTCATGGTTCACAACGCCATAGTTCACAACGTCACGGTTCACACCATCACAGTTCACAACGTCATAGTTCACAACGTCACGGTTCACACGATCACAGTTCACAACGTCATAGTTCACAACGTCATAGTTCACAACGTCATGGTTCACAACGTCATAGTTCACGTCACAGTTCACAACGTCATAGTTCACAACGTCATAGTTCACACCATCAGAGTTCACACCATCACAGTTCACAACGTCATGGTTCACAACGTCATAGTTCACAACGTCACGGTTCACACCATCACAGTTCACAACATCACAGTTCACGTCACAGTTCACAACGTCACGGTTCACACTATCACAGTTCACGTCATAGTTCACGTCATGGGTCACACCATCACAGTTCATAACGTCATGGTTCACAACGCCATAGTTCACAACGTCACGGTTCACACGATCACAGTTCACAACGTCATAGTTCACAACGTCATAGTTCACAACGTCATGGTTCACAACGTCATAGTTCACGTCACAGTTCACAACGTCATAGTTCACAACGTCATAGTTCACACCATCAGAGTTCACACCATCACAGTTCACAACGTCATGGTTCACAACGTCATAGTTCACAACGTCACGGTTCACACCATCACAGTTCACAACATCACAGTTCACGTCACAGTTCACAACGTCACGGTTCACACCATCACAGTTCACGTCATAGTTCACGTCATGGGTCACACCATCACAGTTCATAACGTCATGGTTCACAACGCCATAGTTCACAACGTCACGGTTCACACGATCACAGTTCACAACGTCATAGTTCACAACGTCATAGTTCACAACGTCATAGTTCACACCATCAGAGTTCACACCATCACAGTTCACAACGTCATGGTTCACAACGTCATAGTTCACAACGTCACGGTTCACACCATCACAGTTCACAACATCACAGTTCACGTCACAGTTCACAACGTCACGGTTCACACCATCACAGTTCACGTCATAGTTCACGTCATGGGTCACAACGTCACAGTTCACGTCACAGTTCAGAACGTCATAGTTCACACCATCACAGTTCACACCAACAGTTCACAACGTCACGGTTCACACCGTCTAGAGTTCACACCATCATAGTTCACATCATCACAGTTTGCGTTCACGACAGTCTGCCTCTACTTTCGAACAGCGGGGAGTTGATGAGCAGCATTCATGCCACGGTCGTGTCGAGGTTGGTGGTGAGCCGGTGGTGACGGCTTCAGGAGTAGCCTCGTGGTGAATATTCGGTCACGCTGCCGACGACCGATCCGAGTGGGCTGTGGTGGCGCTCGTGACGATATTCTGGGGACTTTTCGGACAATTTATGCGAAAATAGACTTCAGGAAATATCGGTTCTGTGGGTTTTACTCCTCCTGGTGAGGGGTGGGGGGGTAAAGCTGCATCTCGCAGTCATCTCAGTCAGCCAGCCCATGGCATCTGCTGGGTCTGTCCCGTGGCCTCCCGTCGGCGAGCCTTCGACACTCTCACGTGGTTCTCAAAGTGCACCTGGCCTGGCACGGGCGCCGTGATCGCGTCGCCGTCACTCGGTGGCGAATGTCGGCTGTGTTGGTATACCTTGAGAGGATTCACACGCGGTGCTGATTGCCCGCTCTTCTGGGTGGTGGTGGGGAGGGATTTAAATGAAAAGAAGGCTGTAAATCAGATGCGCGCGCGTGTTGTGTGATGGATGGGGCCCGGCGGGGCTCACAGGAAGGGTCACTCCGTCACGCGGACCTGCAGACTTCTTTGACGACGCTGGCTCCTTCACAGTCGCGCGTCGGATGAACGATGGAGGCGCAGTGAAGGGGACGCAGGCACCGACCGTCCAGCTCAGCGGGTCTACGCTGCATCATCATCAGCAGCATCAATCATCGTCGTCGTCGTTAATGTAGCTCCACACCCACGTTTGATATTAGGCTTCTTTAAGGGTGACATTGAATGTTATTTTTAAACCTTGATTACAAAGGTGCTGGCTTTATTGGGCGAGGTACGAGAGGGTGGGGGGGGGGGGGTACGAGGGTGAGGTTGTTGTGTGGACTGCATGAGTTCTGCGGGTTCACACAGTGCAGTGACTGCTGTCACATTTGGCGAGATGTCTCGACAGAGACGTGGATTTCACAATTGCGGCGTGATTCCCCTCGGGAAAGATAGTCTGGTGAAATGAAAAACTAGGATTTGAATTCCCCGTCAATCAACCACGCCTGCTGTGTCAGAGGAAGATTGCGAAACTCAAACGGTGGTTGGTATCACCTCGTAACGCTTGTCCTCGTATGGCGTGACTGCTCCTTGCCACATGAATGAGGATTTTCCACCACCGTCTCAGGTCCGCCAAGGGAGATGAGCACCAGGGGAACGGGACGCGTTCTTGTGTGGGGGGGGGGGGGGTATCGGAGGGTGGGGGGGTATCGGAGGGTGGGGGGGGGTATCGGAGGGTGGGGGGGGGGTATCGGAGGGTGGTGGGGGGTATCTGAGGGGGGGTATCGGAGGGGGGTGGGGGCCCA